TACCTTTCCCCAGGGCTTACGTACGCGCGTTTAAAAGTATCCTTAACTGGTGCTGGACAGGGATTGTTTCTTCAAACACGCAATATTTTCTCGGAAGGTAACTCTGCCTTCTGGGAATCTTTCTTCTCTCTTTATTTCACATCTCTTCTGCTTGGTAGCAGCCCTTCACCTCATGCTGCCTCCTACAGCTTCTGCTTTCAAGCCCAAATTCTTCATCGAAATCTTCTTAAACTTCCCTGCCGGTGTTTCCCCGGGACACGACATTAGGAGCTCTGCAGAGAGGGGATTGATCTGCCCCAGGGGGGTCCGGACGGGAGTTCCTGAACCACAGAGCTGCTTTTCCCTTCATTTATTTTCAGTAAAATAATAAAATCCCCTGCCTGTAAAACATTGGGAGGTTTGGCTGTTCTGAGAAATCAAACTGCTTTTCAGCAACCGGTTTCGCAGTGAGCCCTAGGGGCTGGTTTTACACAAACCCCCTTGTTTGTCCCTTTTCTGCCTCCTGGGCCGCAGGCAGAGGAGCCGGAGCTGCGCGGAGCAGAGGGTGCTGTGCCAGCCCCGGCCCCCGGCCCCGCTGCCGCTGGGCCCAGCCCCAAACCCTCCAGAGGCGCCGCGAGGGATTAAGTAACCACAACCCGGCTGTGGGCACCTGGGGCGGCGTGAAAGAACGGAATAGTTAATCCCTTGGAAAATCGCGGTCCGGTGCTATAATCACTCACTCCTGTGAGTCTGGGGAGGTTTTCCCTCTATGTCATTAAATCTGTAGAAGTAACTAAGGGGGACGAGGTGAGCATTTGCTTCCCTCCCTCATCTAATGCATACAACGATCCCCACTCCATCCCTGTTCCGTTCCCGGGGCTCAGTGCTATGACAACACAGTTAATGAACAGTAACGAACTGGAAATGAGCACTTGCCATTAGCAGCGCAGCAACATCCTGAACGAACGCGTAATTTCCCCGGCTAATGACCGAGGAGCTCTTCGGAGTTGGCACAGAAAAGGGCGAGGAGAAGAGAGACGCTGGGTAAAACCAGCCGACGCCAACGGTTTGGCGCAGGGGGGAGAGTGCTCGCGTGTCCCTGCTCAAACCGTCGGCTCACAGCAACGCAGCCAGCTCTGCTTCGGGTGATTTCAGAGGAGGAGGAGGCCCAAGGAAGAGTTCCCAGGCGAGGTTTTCCCGTTACCTTGGATGTCCGACACGTGGCCAGCAGCGGCCCCTGCTTCCCGCGCGTCCCCGAGGGTCAGCGCCAGGGAATTCGCCGCCCGGCTCGCCTCGGCACCGGGACACTCGTTGCTTCCGCCTTGTTTTGCTGTAATTCATATTGCCCCATTTCCACAGCAAAACTGTTTGTGCCTCCCCAAGCCTGACAGTCCAGGTTTGAACCAAGGTAAAAACCTTAGTTTTTAATCAAGTTAAAATTAAGTTAACTTCAGGTAATACATTTTTAGTTAACTTCGCCGAAGGACCCCATTAAAATAGCTTCTCTGTTTTCCAGTAGCCAAAAAGGAAGGAAATGAGGAGTAAAGCTAAGAACATAAATACTTTTCAGCTTAGCTAAGAATAATTTCAGTACAGCACATGCAGAATTAAAACATTTTTATATAAGGCTTTTAATCACTACACAGATTATAATTGAGGGAAGCGTGGATCAGAGGGTCGCAAGAACAGTACTTACAGTCCTCTTCCTTTTTTGGGGGCCAAGCTGCCCTTCGCGGGGTGAAAGCAGCTGGCTTTTTTGTGCGAGTCCTGGGAGGAGCGAAGGGCTCCCGGCCGCACCAAGAGACGAGGCAGAGCGACCCCGGGAGCCGTGGGTGAGCTGGGGGCTCTGGAGCACACCGGGAGGAAAACAGAAAGCTCCGGGGCATCCTGGAGGAAAAATGGGGGTTCCTGATGGGAGCAGCAGGTAACCGGGGGGGCTCTGGTTTTGCCGAAGGACTGAGGACTCCGGGGAGCACCAGAAGCTGAATGATGGGCTCTGCTGCGCACCCAAGAGGAAGGGGAGGGGTCCCAAGGGGACCCTGAGGAGAGGAGACACCAGACAGAGGGATGTGGGGGCACCGGAGGGCAAAGGGGTGCCCGGAGCGGCCCAGAGGGCAAGGGGAGGCAGCTGAAGGCGCACACGGGGCGGGGGGACCTGCGCAGGTGCATCTCCACTCCTCCTCCGGCACGATGGACACCACGTCCGGCAGCTCTTTAAAACATCCACGGTCATGGAGGCTTTTGAGCATCCATCCCTGGGGTTCCCAAAAGAAACGGGCACAGCACAGCAGAAGAGAGACCCGGCCCCGCTGCTACCCCGAAGGCCGCAGGGGTGGGATGCACATTGACTTTTTAACATTAATTTCTTGCATCTTCTGCCATCGTGTGGCAGGCGAAAGAAGGAACGATGAGAAGTCAAGGGCGATGCATTGTTTTACTGCTCCTCGCGTTTATTCCACCTTTGAGGGGTAATACAGACTTATTTTCAAGTTCAGTATTGCTTGAAATATATATTTTGTTAAACTGACCGCTTTATAAATCATTTATTTGAAGACTTGATTTCTTAGTTTTGGAAAATGCCTTAAACTCACCCATTGGATCACCAGTGCAGGGAAGGAGAAGGAAGCAGGTCATCATTCGCTGGCTGAAGGAACTGAAAAAGCTTGATTACAAAACTGATCCAGTATCGCTACAGCAAACAGAACCTGTTCTGTAGCGCGGCACAAACACCACCGTCCCTTCAAATAAAGCCTGGATGCTCCCAAGCTGCTTGGGAAGAATTTAGCCCTCTTGGGAAGGGGGGAGCAGTGAAGCTCAAGATTTAAACCAAGCTCTCTCCACCCCACGTTTTATTGCTGGGGTGGCTAAATTAATTTGAGTAATACCTATGGCAAAATGTGTTTCTTCTACATTCACCATGAACAATTTCTCCCAAAACAGACTACACAGCGCCTCGAGGAGCGTGTTGGCTTGGAGGTGGCTCCTAAGAGAGGGCTGGCGGCTGAAGGCCACAGCCCCCGGCAGCCGCAGCAGGAGGCAGAGCTACAGTCACCACGTTCCTTGTCAGGAAGGCACTTATGTCACGACAATCCGTCATCAACGCGCTTTGGTCGGTTCTCCCTCCTGCTAGCCACAGCCCTGCACGCTCCAGCTCAGGGTAGCGGCAGATTTTCAGCTTGCGGCTGATGAAGACGGAGGTCCCCCGCGCAGGGGAAGGTAAAGCTGATCTCACTGACTAAGGGAAGGTTTCCACATTACCCAAGCGCTTTCCCTCGTATCCTGGGGGCACAGGGAGGCAAAAAGAGGGCAGGAACCCTTGATACCCTCAAATAATTTGAAAGAGGGCTCCACTTTTCAAATACTGAGCAAGGGCATTTGTCCCCTCCTTTGTCAACCAAGAGAGCTTGTTTTTTGTCACCATCTCTTCCCCCGTGCTCCAGGCCACGGCTTCACCCGGCAGCAGAGGGCAAAACCAGCCCCGGAGCACGTGAGCTGGGCTGCGCGAGGCACAGCGTACGTAACCGCTGTGGTTTGCTACCTCAACATGGTTAAGCAAGATTTGTAAGGCTTCACATCTAAGCTGTGCTGGCGTAACTGGCGCCTAAGGAGAACCTATAAACAAGAGGCCTGATAAAGAAAGTAACAGCATATATGCTGCAGGCTGCTCAAGGAATTCACTGGCTCAGCCTAGAGGAAAATTCAGGTTCCCGCCTGTGCCTGAGGCTGCCGTTCACAGGCCCTGGGAGATGTACCTGACAGAAGGCAGCTCACGTCAGGCTTGGGTAACCTGCCACCGCTGCCCAGAAACCCCTTCCGACGCCCGATGACTGCAGCAGTGGCACACCACAGACAGCAAAGACTGCGAAAGACAGCGTCAGGTAGCTCAGCCCACGTCAAGAGAGGCTTTCAAGAGCTTCTCTTAACACTAGGATCTATCTATTCAGTATTTAGATTAAACGAGGGCAGGTTCTAAAATTCCAATGTTTCTAATAACGATAGGCTTTGCTTTTGTTCCTTACGCTGCGGCCCTGCAACGTGCCAGACTCCAATTTATCCTCCCAGCTACAGGAGCTGAAAGGCACCTCCGTGTTACCTTCACACGCAGGAGAACCGGGGGGGAAAAACCGCTCAGCCTCCTCCAGCAGCCGGTGCAACGATGACCTAACACAAATTCCTTCTTCAGAAAAGATGAAAGAGCAGGCACAGTGGGAGATTTGTCAGCAAATACTGTAGCTGCTGAGGCTTCACCCTTGATACAAGTGCAGTGCAACAGGCAGAAAGAACACAAGCGTTACGTTACCGGAAGGCAAGGAAACGCAAGAAATACATCCCTCCAACACGGTCATCTCTCCTTCCCAACATGCAGGTCTCGCTACTTCCCCCTTTCCTTCTAACCTAAACCTTCTCTGAAATACCCTAACTATACCAGGTTCTCTTGCCAGGCCACCTCGCAAGCAGCACAGCTTGCATCAGTGACCGTTACAGGCGTATGTAGTATGTTTAAAGAAGAGAGAAGTCACTGAAACAGGCCAGCAGCCCCCAGTTTGAGTAGTGGCATTTTCAACAAATAGGGACGATAGATTTGCATTTTCTCTAGAAGGGGCAAAGTCCAGCCTGGGGTGGGACAAGACCCCAGTGATTTCCATTCTGCTCTGCTAAAAAAGAAAACCTAGAACTGCCAGCTGACAAAAAGGCTGAACAACAGGGAAAAATGCAAAGGTTTCAAATCCTGAAGGCACTTGACTGGAGGAGCACTTCACATCCGTGGGTGCTGGGAGCACTTAACCCTCGCTCAGCAGAGCTGAGGCAGACTGACTGGCTGGGTGCACAGCCAGCAAGAGCTGACCATGCTCCGAGGCAGAATACGGTCCCGTAAAGCTCCCGTAACCTTTGGCTTCCACCTGCTCCCTCTCCTGAGCAGGCACCGAGAACCGCTTGGAGAGGGCGGAGGTGTCTGAGGTATGTGCAACATCTTCGTCGTGGGGAGGCACCGCGTGGCGCTGCTGGAGGTCCGACCGCCTCTCCGGAGGGGCCTGGGCTAAGCTTGCAGTCCCAGTAAGCGCGCGGTGTTCAGCACGTCATCTCTCGTCAGGTAGCAGCCACAGAGCTGGCGGTACCCCGTGAACGCTTCCCGTCCGTGCAGGACGCGCCAGTTATCTATGAACAGTGCCTGCGGGCGAAGAGAAAAGGCGTCAGGAGAAGGGCAACCCCCGCAGCCAGGGCCAGGGCCCTCTGACAGGGCAGGTCCTGGAGCTGGAGACCCCTGGAGACTGGAAGAGCGAGTAAGGGTGTGCCAGGGTGGGCACGACCCTTCCCGTTCAACACTGCCAGACAGCGCGTGAGACTACAGCCAGATGTTTCACGTGATGTAGCACAGCAGTTTTACCTGAAGCCAGCAGTTCTGCTCTGCTGCTAACCACAAGTTAAAAGACAACAGCTACCAAAGCACAGAAAGACATTCTGGGCTGTTTCTTTGCTTTCCTATCAGAGGGGTTGTGCAATCGTTCACCAGCAACAGACACTGGCCACCTTCAGCCTCTACGGTGCCACTTTCCTCCAGGCATCCTTTGGAACAGAGCAGTGTAGGGGCTCTGATATGATCATCTTCCCTGCTGGACTGTTTAATTTTTGGGGCCCTGGGCTCAGGCGGAACCTAGACCTTGTAGGAATAAAACCCCTGCAAGCACGCACAGCTGAAGGAAGCAGCCCTGCACCGTAATACCTTCAAGTCTACACCTGTGGCTCTAGCTCTTCGAGCTCCTCCCAAGCTGCACCCAGCATCAGCCTTTCAAACGCAGGGCAGAGCTTTTTCCTTTCAGCACCAAGGTGTGCTCAGGCACCTCAGTCATTTCTGGGACAGTGAAGATTGCCAGCGAATCACAGGAGACCTAGGCTATGTAAGGGTTCAAATACAACCTCAGAACAGAAGTAAATTCAGCTTCCCACACCTTTACATGTCCATCAAAATAAGAATTTCTTCTGGAAGAAGTTAGAGGCTGAACATTAAGTGTTCCCAGCCTCTCTGCTTCTGAGGGTCCTCATTTGACCGGAAAGATCTTCCTCCTCTCCCCCAGCTGGGACTAACTTTCCTCTGAGGCAGAGTTTTAATTAAACATTTCTGCCTTATCTGGAAGCTCGTACTCTTTTAGGACAGTAGGAACAGACACACACCAGATGCCAGTACTGTAATACAGGGCACCTTACGACAGCCATAAAGAGGAAAACTGCAGCACACGGAGCTTGCCTGAAGCATTCACCTTGGTTGCAACAAGCCTGCATGCCCGAAGAGGCACCCTGCCTCTCTCCCTGTACCAAACGCACACGAGCTTCCCAACTCCAGGTCCTACCTTGCCCGGCTTCAGTTTGACCCACAGTTCATTTTCTGGTCTCCTGAGCTCTGTGGTGAGTGTGCGGTGAGCAGCGTACCAGCGATGCACAACATCGTAAGGCACAGTGTTGATGACAGCACGATCGTAATTGTTGTACCTAGAAGTAAAGAAGGGATAAGAGACTGCCCACATGGCTCCACGAGCACAGCCAGGTACTTCCAAAGGGAACCTCGGGAGCTTGGAGGAGCAGGCAGTATTTAAGGCGGGCTATAGAGATGACTAGGCAGGTTATGCTGCAAGCGCAGGACGTTCAGGAGAATACACAACACAGGGAGCAAGGAGGAGTTTACTGTCAAGTGTTAAAGTGTTCCTGCTGCT